GCCATCCAACTTAGAAAGAAGAGCCTCGCTATTGGGAATATAAAATTAAACACAATTCCTTTTCCCAGACGGATTATTTATAAAGGTAAAACGACAGCACATCCCATGCAATTTAAAAAAGGTAAACTTGATATAGTAAAACACAAGTCATAATGATGATCGCAACAATACAGCAATAACATGCTGTTTCTTTTCACAAAGTATCGCAGACTGACACTCTTGTCGTTCGAAAGCTTCCATATTGGTTTAGTCAGAGAGATGTTCACTCCTCGACAGTCAACAGTCAATGAAGTCACGCGCGGAATTAGGCGCTCAATACCCATGATGCTTTGCGGCCTGCTGTCCAACCTCCTCTGCATGAGACCGGGACGAAAATAACTCAGACCGGTCTCAGGTCATTCCGCCTGCTGGACCGAGCCGACTGACTTCAGACTGGCATGAATTCCGTCAGACCAGAATGAATGTAAACACAAATAGTCAAATACATTTCAGCCGGTCTCGGCTGTAACCTTGATATTGTAACAACACATGCTAACAAAAGCCATAAAAAAAAGAAAATTGCTTGGGCCAGCTTGGCATGGGGAGTAAATTGAACATTTTGTGATTTTCGTACCGGTTTCATGTAAACATGTTGATTGTTGACACTGATTTCAATTTTCCGATTCCGGTTGGATTTCGTCCCGGTCTCGTGTAAACAGGGCCAATATAAATAAAATAAATATAAAAGCCAGCCAGACGTTACAACCGACATACACTGTGAAAACCATGTATGCTTTATAGTATGTTCAGTCGACACTTTATGTATTATGACACGAAAACCATGTTTGATGTATGCTTTAGACCCCTTTAGTATGTTCAGTCGACAAAATGTACAAGTGTACTCACTACAGTCACTAGATATTTCGAATGTAATGTGCTAGCATTATTTAAACATTAATATAAATATCAGATTAAAAAACGACTTATATGTTTTATACCTGCACGCTACGACGACATATCAGATTTGTAAAGCAATTACCAGCTTCGATTTCGACACCAGTCTGGTCAACGTTTTGATCCTCGACTATCAACGGATCGTTTATAGGGTCGTTGCTCATATTCGATTCAGCCTGTATTCGATTCGAGTGTATTCAGTTACCATATAAAAACCTATCGCCTGCATGATATATGATATAATATTATTAATATCTCTCTTCTTCAAATACGCAAATGTCAATAGTCCGAAATTCAGCATAAAGGTTTTAAAATAATTTATTGTTCTGTTTAATAATTTGTCTTAATATATAGATGCCGGTAACAATAAAAAGCGCGGAACGATAGTCAATTAAACCGGCCAGCTTCTTTAATACGTGGCGCGTCAGTCTTTTCCCCGAAAGGTACTTTCCCGAAATCCGTGGAATGATTTAATGTGAATGTCGATTTCCGAGTATCAGAGTGTTTATATACACTTACAACGGGATATTGTGTCTAGGCATGAATATCAATATTGGGCTAATTATTGAATAATATTTCGCAATATTCATGCCGTTTTCACTATTTTGCTCAGTCTTTTCCGCTTTAATATAAATTGTCACAAAGTGAGGTTAACAAATTAAAATGCGAAGGAAGAAACGTCTGGACCGAAGGAGGATACATGCATATAAGGCCCCAGTTACACGATACCGGGATTCGCATTGGAGCGACATCAAATTTTACTGCTTCGAGGTGAATTTGGCACTTAAAATCATGATAATAAAACATAATTTTAAAACAAAAACTTCAAATATGAAAAGTTGTAAAAGCAGACAAGATCGCTCCGATACGAATCCGGTATCGTGTAACCACGGTCAATAGACGTGGTGTAATGTAACTGGGGCCTTAAGCCGGTTTTCCACTAGGCGGAATTTTGCGCGCGGAGCGGACTTTTTCTTTGTCTTGTGATTTCTCGGGTGGAACTAATTAGAAAAGACAAAGAAAAATTCCGCTCCGCGCGCAAAATTCCGCCTAATGAAAACCGGCTTAAAGGCCTGATTCCACGGGCGCTTTTTCTCGGCGAAATGCGAAATATTTCGCCTGTTTCTTTTGAATTGTGGGCAATCAAGTAGAAATAATTTATTCGAGTGGTCGCAATTCAAAAGAAACATGCGAAATATTTCGCATTTCACCGAGAGAAAGCGCCCGTGGAATCAGGCCTTGAGGTTACAAGGCCATTCCGATGGTGTGTCAATAGACCTTATGCATAATGACGTCACAAGGCGTAATGCACGCAGGGAATTTTGGTCTTAGTGGTCATCGGCAGGAAAACAAATAAACAATCCAACAGAACTCTTGCAGGGAGCTTCAGAGGTCAGACAGCCCTGAAAGTAACGGTATAACATTCCTCTTTTATCAACCAGTACGAAAAATGGTGGTTTTGCGTGTTGTGGTCCTAATAGATTCTGTTATTTATAAAGGAGTTAATTGTTATGGTCTGTGCTTTTATATTGTTAATCAGTCGATAATACGTTGGTGGAGGCTTTAAAATACGTCAGCTGGTCATGTAGGTTTTTATACGTCCTTCTGGAAAATTCAAAGAGCACACCGGCTCTATGCATTTGATGTTGTTGGAGACAATTCAATTTATCCACTTCTTGCGGAGTTCTTTTGATCACAATTTTACCATTTGGAATATATAAAAAGGAAAGCTCGGGATTTCTTTGCGCCACTTCTTGTACTCATACTGGTCAATGAGAAACGGACTGTTGCAGTCACTTTCAAGCTATAGGCTGTCAAACCTCTGAGGGACCCGTGCAAGAGTTCTGAAAAGAGCTAGGATCTTCAGTGGCTTAAAGACGACAAAGAACTGCAGCACATGCACTCGACAGCTACTAAGTCCAGAATTAGCCGCGCGCATCACGCCTAGTCAGATCTAGTGACGTCATTTTGCATAAAGTGTATTGTATTTTTACAACATAAAAGAAAAAACATAACAAGAAAAGAAGAAAAAACATAAAAGCCGCTTGTCAGTTTTCATGTGTTGTTTTTTCTCATCCGACCATAATTTAGAAAGTATTAATGGTATTTATTTTCGGAGCAAGATGCCCAAGAGTATATAAAGTGCGGCTTTAATATACAAATATGCACAGCATGTGCATAATAATTACTGCATACAGCTATTTCAATTAAGGTTGTCCACGAGAAAAGCGGAAAAGTCGAATACGAGCGCGAAAGGCTGCTGGGAATCGCTAACAAATTAATGAATTTTCAAAGCAGTTCCCAGCAGCCTTTCGCGGTCGTATTCGACTTTTCCACTTTGCTCGTGGACAGCCTTAATTGAAATAGCTGTATTTAAATATAGTCTATATGGATAATAGAAATAACCAGAAACACGAAATCCTGCAGTCACTTGATGTTGGTAGTGATATCACAACGAAGATCCGTCGGAAACATTCGGGTTAGGGACAGAGTTAGTGTCAGGGTTTATTGGTTGAGAATCTCGGTGTGACGTCATGCACTATATATCACGGAGCAGAATAAGTTCTCTAAAATAATGCAAAAACATTGTTACTAAACATTGAATGACGCACACTTAGCGCGCTATCTAGGCTCGGTCCCAGCCGTTCCCCTTTATTTGGCGCACTGCCTGTTACTGTAATAAACTAGTTCAATCCGCAGCTCTCGACTGCGAATCCCAATAACGTACGTGTTCTCAGGACGGGATGAAGAAACGAACTACGTACAGTAAATTGCACGAGTCCACCATTCTTGTTCTTTGATGGTCTGTTTACACTGCTCCGGCACATACCGGATTACTTTTCATATCACCTCCAAAGCGGAGTGATTTTTGCTCCGCGTCGCGTACCGGATTACTGTAGCGTAGTATAAACAGGAGCCGAATCCGGTATAAAAATCGCTCCGCTCCGATGCAATCCGGTATAGTGTAAACGGGTCCTGAATAACTTTTCAATATTTCAATTTGATTTTCTGTTCCGGCCACAGGTTTTTCAGACAGGATATTTATCTCGACTCATGCAGAAATGTTCTGAAATTAATTGCGGCGAATAGAATCATCGAATTATGAAAGAAAGAAGCGAAAACGGATGTATAGGCTTATGCACTCTTTGCATATCACTTTAACAGATTGCAGAGCCAGAGTACCAATTGATCAACACTGACTGTATTGCATATGCAATGGTCATGAAATTCGAATCGCGTGGACAATGACAATGTCGTGATTACGTCGTGTGGAAACCAAACCGGCGATCACCTCTCAAAACATGTATTTGTTAAGACTCTTTATATATGCTGGAGGAGCTATTCAGTGAAATCGAAAAAGTCTTTTGCCCGTCTTTCCTTGAATATAGTTGAGATTGGGCAGCAGGAGCTGTATATATCAACTTTCTATTCATTGTTTATTCTTATATACTTGGCGTCGGTTGTTCTTGAATAGATTTTAAAACAATAAACGTGGAGAACAAGTCTTTGTCTCCATGAAAAATTTTGTTCCAGTAAAATATAAACAATCGTCCTTCGAACGTTGCTTTTATTCCCAAAAGAACAAGACGGGAAACGGTTGCAAAGTTATGAGATCCTATTTGCACTTTGCCAAGAGGAGATAATTTCTCGGCAACATCCAGGGTAATTGCCAAAGCAGCAGACGTAGTTGCCAGGAAAAATAGCACAAGTATTATCCAGTAAGCCAACCAAATATACAGTCTTGCGAAGCTTCGTTCGTTCACCGATGGAAACTTTACAGGAAGTACATAATTCAAAAAGTACGCAACGATTAACTTACATCCAAAATATACAACCAATGTTATAGTTAATACCCTATTTGCGATTTCCAAGTTTTTAAATGCAATTAAGATGTATTCTAAAACGACAAAAATATATGTAATATTAAACGACCAAAAAGATCCTTTCCTTATTAATCGTTTTAAAGCTTCTTTAAACCCACAGAATTCCACACCAGTTGGCTTCCAATACAATGTCGTCATGACAACAATGGTGTTGATGATGCTGGTAAAGCAGAATAGCATGATAAAAGGTTGTGGTTTTTGAATGAGGACTTTCTCGGTGCAATTGACAACAGATTTTTCCTGGCTCACAGCGCACAATGTATCAAATATGGTGGACAAAACAAGACAAACGAGGTTTGTCAGGCAAAGTATAGCATGGGACAGAACCAAACTGACCTATATAAATTATGAGAGAAGAATGCCAATTAATATATATAATTATATTTGTGATGTTACTCTGAGTGTACAGGGTGTCCCAATACACTATAGAAACTATAGAAATTATCACATTGTTCTTAAGTCGCTCTTAAAAGCGCATGATTACACGCCTGGGAATTTAATGAACTTGTATTTACATTTAAGCATTTTAAAACGTTTTCGCTTTGTCCAAATATTTTAACGCCAGAGTCAAGCAAAACGATTACACAAATATACGGTTTGCTTTTTTATTTTAAATTCCAGAAGCAGAAGTTTATGCACCTGTGGCATCAACTTAGTGCTAGGGCATTCAAATTATAACAATAGGATAATTTCTATAGTGTCACTTTTTTTTGGGACACCCTGTATATCCACACCGGGCGAGCTTGAAAAATATGCCCAGCCACGGTGGGAATCAAACCTGGCATATTTTTCAAGCTCACCCGGTGTGGATATACACTCAGAGTAACATCACAAATATCATATATATTCACCTGAGTACACAACACCAACACAGAAAAAATAATTATATATTGCGTAACTTAAGGAGGGAAATATTTTCTTTAGGACTATTGCGATATTTGTTTCAACGTTATGCTTATGACAATTAATTGAACAGTATAAAACAGTATAAAAGCCATGTGGCTCACAGCGAGTACAATGTCTTCTGACGTGACTCGATTTACGATTACCACTACTTAATTAAAATGCTCATTATCTGTTGGAAAGTACGACATCTGAAGTCCTTCAATGAAACAATCAATACTGGTTCCAATGCCGAACTTTCATTGGTTACCACTTTGGATATTACATCAACAAAAAGAACTTTACAACTTGGAAGAGAGGTATTTCGTCCCTTAATTCGTATGACCAGTGAGGCCAAACAAATTATCTCCCATGATTCATGATTATCTCCCATGGTCCCATGATTTTGTAATTTTTTTGAAAAATGCTCATGAAAAAGGCATGGTGTTCTACGTCAAACACGTACGGCAGCATAGATGCCACAGACATTTCTTAAACGTATCAACTTTGAAACAAACAGGTTATACTTTGCTTGCGTGATAGGTAGTCCAAAGGTCGTAGGTTCGAATCCCACCATGGTCAGGCTATTTTTCAAGCCTGCCCGGTGTGGATATACACTCAGAGTAACATCACGCAAGCATCTTATTCACCTAAGTACATTACACCAACACAGCGAATGTCAGGTTATACTTTATATAGCTAGTACAAACTAACGCCACGAATTGGGCACAGAAAATTGCTCAAAACACTTTGCAAACTTCAGATATAAAGATTATAGGGTCCGTGACTTCAGCGGCCAAAAGCTAGGTAGGGTCGGGAAATGGAAACCCGAGTGTCTCTTTCTGGCCTATTAATGTACTGTAATTTCTTCATCAGACGCTTTGTACAATGAAATGACGTCATTTCTTTCTGGCATATTCTGTCGACCTGTCCATGCATGCGAGTATGCGAATTAAACTCTTGTAGGACTATGAAAATATTCAAAGCCGGTGTTGAGCGTAATATACTTCAATATAGTTACGGTTTTCCTTTGGAAATAACTTTCAAGTGATTTTTAGACAAATTGTATTATAGTCTGGTTTGATGGCGAAATTGGAGATTATCTATAGTGCGAGCTGCGAGTTGCGAGTTGCGAGCTGCGAGTTGAAAGTTACGAGTATATTGTTAATTTCTAATAACATCGGGTTTAATTTTAACCCAGGGTTAACACTAACCTAGCTTTGAAGCACCGAACCAGGTGTTTACACCTGTGGTTTACACTAAAAATTCAAATTGAAAACTGTGTGGCATCCTGGCGGATGTGATTTTAGCTTTGTCTCAATTTGGCGCCAATTTTCAGCTTTTGAAATAAACATTCATTGCATTTATTTTTATACTTACAAACTTGTAAATAGCAATCGTTTTGATATACTGATGATTTTTTCCCGTGTTTAGATAAAGTTTATGTATGTATATGTATGTCTATATGTATAAATTGTATAAAATAAATTGTACTTCCGATGAAAAGGACTTGAGTTTTATAGGGTTCCCAGCGTTCAGTATATATAAACAAACTGAGTCGGTGTCTGGTCATACTTACTAATAAAATTAAATAACCATTTTAAGATTAGAAAGCACAAAATGGTCTGGATAACTACTAGATTTTATTAAACACAGAAACGCCAAATATAAACTTGCACTTTTATTTTCAATAAAATTATTTTAATTCTTGAACATACGTATTGATGGATCTAACAAAGTAAAAAAACAAGTAAAGGCCGATTTTTATCTCGTCCGTATCGTAGCATTTTCTTTTGTGTCGAAGTCTTAGTTACAGGGACCTTAACTTCGAAGGTCATTATATTTATGAAACAAAAAACCCTTCGACTTTGCCTTCCATGTCGTCCATATTAATATACTTTCAAAGCCTAATTCAAAGCGAGGCTAGCGACTCGCAACTCGCAACTCGCAGCTCGCAACTCGCAACTCGCAGCTCGCAACTCGCAACTCGCAACTCGCAACTCGCAGCTCGCAAAATAGCCGACCCCGCGAAATTGCTTTGCCTCAATTTTTGGCACGGCGCGGATAAAATTGGTACCCGTACCACTTTTTTGGTTCTTGGACTACCTATTTAGGTAGTCCAAGAACCAAAAAGTGGTACGGTACCAAAAATTGAGCGTAGTGTAAACGGGGCTTAGCTAAATAGGTAGTCCAAGAACCAAAAAAGTGGTATACGGGTACCATTTTTATCCGTGCCGTACCAAAAATTGAGCGTAGTGTAAACGGGGCTTGTTTAAGTCTTCATATGAAGTTGTTTATTAGTGTGAGACTACATGGAATTGAAGCTTTGTCAGAAATGGGATTCAAAGAGAATCAGTACGAGGTCCATAACAATGGAAAATAATAGAGAATTTTATAGACAATTTAATATAACGCATTGAGTATTGGCAAACAATGATAGGAAATAATAACGTCTTATTAACCAAACGCGAGGTCTGCATGTACAGAGAAATATCGGACAGAGGTCTTTTTTTGCAGAC